CTGGGGATAACTCGAAGTATTTGTCAGGGGTCTTTAGGGATTTGTAGTAAGTCTGCTACTCCAGCCTCACTGAACATGTATGTATCAACAGAGCAAAAGACAGATTTTTGCACAAATTTCGGTGCTTGCAAACAACACGCAGGACAGGACAACAGTCTGGTAATTGGTAATTTCTTCTTTTTACGTATTTCCTCAATAGCATTTCTGTCGAGCGCCTTGGGCTGCCCAAGGTTGGTAATTACATATGCACATCACACGCAATAAATTACCAGTGTTTTGGTGGTAATACTCACTCAATTACACGAAATTCGCCGCTTCAAGCGTCAATTTAATGATCGTGCCGTTCGCCACCGTCAGCGATTTTATTTATGCACCTGTGCCTGTCAGGAAATTTGACCTGAAAATTGTAAATGGTACAATTAGAGAAAGCTGTGACACTAAAATAATTAACTGAATACAACTTATTTTATTGGACTTTATTTTAAATGATTGGAATTATTCGATTTATCATAAATTTTAGTATCTTTGGATTCGTATTACTGTATTCGTCAACAATAATTAAGCTTTTAATAAATAGGTCCCACTATTCTCAATCCCCAAGTATGTACGGTACGATTTATAAAATGTATAAGTGTTGAACACATGAACATTTACATTTGAAAACATCAGTGACTTATTTAGTAACATAAAATTTGCTTCACTTCTGAGGAGGTAGTCTTTTCTGTATGCCAAAGAGAATAATCGGCTCTCCCAGAGAAAAGAAACACGTTTGCATACGACTCTCTTTAAAAAGGGTGTTCAGAATAATTTCCTTGGGTATATACGATTATCAGATAATTTCCAACTAGCATTGCTGTCCAATTCGTTCAAATGACATTTTACCAGGATAAGACAGTTCTAGAACCTGGCTGCGAAGACATATTTCACATTACACACGCTAAAATCTATGAAAAATTAATTGACGAGCTCTTTATTAATTACGATTTTATATCACTTAAGGAAGTGATACGACTAGGTATACCATTGTTGTACGGCCTTTGGGTGATTAGACCGTTGTAAGGACATTATCCTACCAGAAGTACATTGAATATTCCCTCAAAGCACGCTCAAAGCGAGCTGCACTCGGCCCGAGGCACGGTGCTCGCGATCGTTGCCCTCGTGCAGCTCTTGACTCGTTACTCGATTTGGTTTTTGCACCAAACCCCGCAATTAACCGCGGATGCCGAAGTGACATCTTGCAGTTCGGTCCGACAATTGTCGCTGCAAATGAAAAATCGAGGTTTTACGACCGAATTACATCAAGTCTTGTCCTGGAGTTTAAAATTATGTTCGAGGTGTTCAACATTTCGTTCATTTTCACTCCGAAATCGGAAAATTATATTCCAACTGTATGGATGGAAATTCAATTTATATTCTCCTTAACATTATTTTGTGTTGGTTGGGTTCGTAGATTTGTGTTTCGTCTGTAATTTAGACGTTGATACAAAGTTGGTTTTTTGATATATTGCCACTTGATAAAATAAGTATTGTAGATAAGAGATTTTGGGGAATTTATAAAAGGTTTATATACGGTGCATGAAGTCTAGCGTAGGCCTGTCTTTTGGAATGCAAACCAATACAATGAGTAGGAACTGTAGAATCTATACTATCATAAAAACTAGGAGGATCAGGAGACAGCTTCGATCATACAGACTAAAAATACGTAATCCAGTAACCCAGCTACTTGGAGGTCACGAGATGTGGATATAGGCATGCAGTGTGGATGCGATACTCCCTGGTGTGGATTAACTTCCGCACTAGTGAGTACTACCATTGACTATACACCTCTAGTAGCAATGGTACTACGGCTATCCGCAATGCTATCCTGATAATTAGACCAATTCGTTAATTACAAGGGGGAAATGTGGTTCGGATTCCATTACAAACTGTAGGTCCCTTTGCCATTGGCTGTATGTGCTATTAATTAACAGCTGTGTCTAAGGAATATGTCGGCCTTGGTCACTAACAAGACTACAAGATCGCGCCACTCATCCTACACTCATCTCCATTCATACTTGGCTTAAAATACCTACTTTGTATGGTCGCCATTTCATAGAACAGTATTAACAGTAAACTGTAGGTCCCTTAGTTGTCATTGGCTGAATTAACAGCTGTGTCTAAGGAATATGTCGGCCTTAGTCACTAACAAGACTACAAGATCGCGCCACTCATCCTGCACTAATCTCCATTCATACTTGGCTTAAAATACCTACATTCGTATGGTCACAATTTCAGAATAAAGTAAAATGTTAAGTATAAGGCTTCTACGGTCACATTAACTATATTGTTTTCGTGACCACACAATGTTACCGACGTGGCCCAATTCTACCTTGATGACCACAATCTAATTTGCCACTCCACCTTGAAATCCCGCATTAGTGCTTATCTCATCCCTAACAGCCTCCTAAAACAAACAGATAAGCACTCATCAGAGTAACGGCTCCCAGATGCTGTTATCTTATCAATGCACCTGCCCGGGCCGCCGCGGAGGAAATTCGCTTAATCTCTATATAATTGCTTAATAGCTCGGTCCGCCCCGGCGAATTAGAGTTCGATTTTATAATATGTCAAGTGTTTATTATAAAGACGTCTACCGGGTTTCGTGTTCCAGCGTCAATTATATCTGCGCCGCAAAAACCTCGTCCGGTAAACGCAGCTGTGCCGTCCGCAATTGGTATTAATTCAGGTACGACACTAGGCCACGTTGGGTCTGAATTTATTACCCAGATTGCTGGACCGTTAGCGATTTGTGAAATTACACGGCGTTTTGTGTAAGTGCGGTAAACATTCTGTGTGCAGATATAGTTTAGGTTTTTCTTAGAATCTGACGGTTGAAACATTAGTTGTAGATTGCGACGCAAATTTTGGAGCATATAGTTTTCTCAGGTCACGATTCTTTCTTTATTCCTACATCGTTGGGTGGACTCGAAAAATTTAACATCTTAGTTCGGACCAAAAAACATTCAATGCTACACACATAATTCTATATTTTTAACATTTTTTGCTGGCTCTAGCACGGAACCGTTCTTATACATTTAGACTTGACCTAGAAGAATGCGGTATTCACCAGGTAAACAAACTTTTTGGTGATTTGCGAGATTTGAACCTAGCACTCCAAGTACCAATGGCCTTTCAAAATGGCCTTAGAGCCGAAACTATAGTAAAAAAAGTAAATATTTTAATAAATAATTTTACTTGGGTACTAAGTTTATTAATGTTTAATCTTTATTTATATATAGTAGCCCTATTTTTCTATTTTTCATATATATATATATTTATTTATATATGTGTCCGTTAGCGCGATAACTCGAGCAAAAACGATCCGATTTTGATGAAATTTGGTACAAACGTGTAAACCTACGTTTATTCGAACGAGTTCGCGAACCAGCATGATCGGACCATGGGAACGGGGGTTTATGGGGTAAAAATGGGGTTTTCCCACTTTTGACTCAAAAAACATAAAATTTTGCAATTTCTTTCCAAACTATTTTGTAGAGCTTAAAAAACAAATAATTTAGTATATTGAAGTGTTATAATGCACCTAATGGTTACGGAGAAAATTTCAAAAAAATTTTAAATTTAAAATTCCCATGTTATTCTTATGGAGAATAAGTAAACTGTTGTAGTTTGCTTGTTTATTAACATTTTTTGTCCAAATTTGGAAAATGTTTTTATTTCTTACTAACTATTAACATTTTACATAAAAAACACTTTTACCCTCCCTGTTGCAGCAAACCTAAGTATGTGTTAAACTGATTCTATTTAAATAGGGAATAAATGTGATATTTTTAAGGAGACATTTTAGTGTAAATCCAATGAGGCAAATGGAAATTCGCTCAGTCTGCAGGTTTGCCGCGGCGGGGGTATTTCACATTACCTCAGAGTTTTTAAACCTAAATAAATCATACAAACTGTGGTGAAATTGGTATATAAAACAAAGTTTCAATTGATATAGAATATTTAAATTCTATTATTAAATTCCCCTGCTCATTGAACTTGAAATCACAAAACTATAATTGGATATCAGTAGTTTTGTCACCCCTTGTTAAACTTGTAATTTATGTAATCTGATTAACAATAGTTATAACTAAATATTAATTAATTACACAACAGAGCATTTTGTTACTAGATAAATTAATTAAAGTTGATAATTACAATAATTGCATGCGTGGTTCAGTGGTTTTAGATGCTATCATATTGATTGTGTATTCAATATTTTGGCAATGTAATGTAATTGATTACCTACATGTTTCAAACAACTAGCTTAGTGCGTTATATAATAATAGTACAAATAAATCTGTTTAACTTGTGGTGGTTTTGCTTGAGATATTATGCTCTTCAGACATCCATTGATTGTGTTCGTCTCTATTTTTACCATATGTTGATTTCTTTCACGACTTTTTCTCTCGTTTTTCCTCTTAAATTATTCTTTGTATCTATGTTATCTCCAGGTATTAATTTAATTTTTAATGTTTTTTAATAGCGATTTCTTCATAAAACTCATAAAATAATAGAAAATCGGGGTTTTCACAAAAACGGCACTATTTGATTGAAATTTAGTATTATGGTCCTTTGACTCTAAACGAAATGGGGTAACTTTAAATGATCTAAAAATTTAGTTTCTAGGTTTAGGTTTAAGTTATTGCGACTTTTGTGATTTTTCAATAAAATAGCATAGTTATTCACACCACTTACTCATCATAAGGGCTTTTGTCAAGCTAATGGAGAAAGTACTTTGTGTATGTGTCAGTTATCTGATACCGTCTATTTTTACTTTTGATGGAAAATATCCTCAAGATAACACGTTCCCTACCAGATACGCTCCTGGGAAAACCACCAATGTGTAGGTGTCTGACAACCTGTTCTGTTATGTGATAAATAACATCTGAAACTAGTTCAAACTCTACTCACTCCGTCAACCTTTCCTCCTCCAACTAGTCACATATTGACGCCTGTTGCAGGCCAGGCAGGCGTGAACCAGCTGGGAGGAGTGTTTGTCAACGGCAGACCTTTGCCGGACTGTGTACGTCGCCGCATCGTAGAGCTCGCCCTCATGGGGGTCCGTCCCTGCGACATCTCCAGACAACTCCTGGTCAGTCACGGCTGCGTGTCCAAGATACTCACCAGGTTCTACGAGACCGGCAGCATACGGCCGGGGAGCATCGGCGGCAGCAAAACCAAGGTAAATACCAAGCGAGGTCTTCCGATGTCAAAGTGTTCCGTTGACAAAGTGTTCCGAATTTATAACGTTACGGGTGGCCACCCCAAGCTCTGAATGTAATCTTCTAATCACCAAGGTAAATACCACGGAGGGAACACGACAAGGTCTTCCGATGTCAAAGTGTTGACAAAATGCTACGAATTTATGAAGTCGTAGCTAACCACTCTTCTTAGATGTGAATATGTAATCCAATGCACTACTTCCTCTCAGCTGGAATACGAGTATAATATGTTTTCTGTGAGTATTTTAAGCAACCGTTCCACCCGATAGGACGTGAAACTCTAGGAAACCTATGCATAATTTTATAGGAAAGGCTCTATCGTATTCTTGAGCTTGAAATTTTTTGTGTAAATATTCAAAATAAAATATTTAATATATTAAAATCCCTTAAAAATTAACTAAGCAAAACTGATTGAAATAAAGGATTGTTTGGTAAAAACAAAAGAAATGCTTAATGCCTTGCCATAAGATTATGTGATCGATTATTTAAATATACCTAGTTTTATAATCAATGTCAATTTGATCGATTTCTTAATAAGATTTAAGAGACTATTTCTACCAAGGTCATGCGTTTGATGCCCAAGGGTAATATCTTTACAAAATCAATAAATAGAGGGGCCAATTTTTTTGACAGGTGGAAACAACTCAGCTGTGATCTTGGTCAGTGACAAAGCTGTAATCTCAATCTATATATTTAATACACAGTTGTAACACTGTTTTCTCAGTAATTACTGGACCGATCCACAAGATTTATGTCTCAAATTAACGGGGATAGTGTGTAGATTTGCCGAACTTCATTAGAATTTACGTTTTTTCTAAGGGCTACGTCCTACAGCCCTTCAAAGGTCGAGTCAATACAATTCTTATTGAAGAATATAATACACAGTTTATAAATTATTTGTCAGCTGTTTAATGTTTGTCAGATATTTGTTATTATTTTTATAACCTCACTTTCAGTATGTAATTATTAATCTAGGAGTTCGTGTTTATAAACACACAATTTTGATCCAGGAAAAGTGTATTTGTTAGCTTTTTATACCACAATGTATTATTTATAATTGTATTTGAACATTATTTGTATGTTTTGGTGTACATTTTGTATTTTTGAAATGTTTTCATTAGTTTTCCTGCGAAGTGATCTGAAGGAAAGTGGTAATTGAGTTTAAGTTTGAGTATGGAATGTGAAATAATACCCTTAGTAGGGACGGAAACTTATTGTTTTGATCAATATAATTTATTCTCTATTGCCACCAGAACAATCATAGGGAAATGCACGTACAAGTTGTACAGATAATTGTTAATGAGTGGGAAACATACAAACCTTTTATCTTAAGTGATTTATCTTACTCAATATCAGGGTTTGACGTTTAGCAGTACCAAATTTTACCTTCACACGCTGACATGCGCTGAGATGGTGGTGTGAGTACGCTGGGATACGTGGAACTACAATTTATCAGTGAACTATACCCTAAATATTTTTTTTTTTAGTACACAGGGAAGTTGCTTGAGAAACTGTGACACTTACGATTTCGGGTCTGGCGAAGAAGTATGACTTTATGTTTAATGGCAATGTTGACTCGGGTCATTATAGCGTTATAAAGCTTTATCATTAACTCCAGGGTGTGAAAAGTACAAAAAGAAAAAGAAAAGGTAATCCTTAACCGGGCGTAAAGAGACATACAACACGAAAAAAAACATGTAGAGAACCATCGAACCAAACAAGTAAAGAGCAGTAATGTTGTTAAATGTGCTCTGGAAGTCCTTACAAAAAAACACCAACTCTTTTGAATTGGGTTGGTTAAATTGGATTCGTCACTACAGCAAATCTATGAATTTAGAGTCAGATCATACTATCAGGGACACAAATATATTCTCCTTATGTTGTCACAAGGGGAAGGTAAAATGAGCTCCTTAATCAACATTTTGAGTTTAAGGAAAAGCTTATCAATGGGGCTACAGCGAATGTAAATAAAGTAGTGAGGGTCAAAAGAAAAAACAACTATTTGAATAATATACTATCCCACAACTCTGCAGTTGAAATGGCGAGTTCTGAGTCTCATTTGTATAAACATCTTTCTGGTAGGTAGTGGTAGTCTATATAATTTTAAGATCCAGGTCTCCCTTTACCATCGGAATGGACCGTTAATACTCTAACATTGAACCAAAGTATGCCCAACTTTATATAGACGTAAACACAGCTGTTACTCACAGAATGGGTCAGCGGTTCATGAAATGCTACCAACTGCTGATGCGTGATTTACATGTAAGTGACTATATTTATTCCATACAACAAATGTAATAAACAAAAACCAATTTAAAGTGTAACTCGAATTAATATAAAACATTAATTTGGTTAAACTTATATATTAGTTTGATTAACATAAAATAGTTTATACAGGCCAACTATCAGTTCTATTTCATGTAAAAACGTAAGTAACCCCTAAATAAAATACAAAGATAAACAGTATTTGTTAATTGTTATGTCTTTTATTGCTGACAATATTCCCGTGGCGGAGCACGGGCGGTTAACTAGTAATTTAAAATTTACCTTTCATCTTCGTCTAAAATACGCACTATGTGACGGCGTCACATAAATTTATTCTCAAACTTATTTTATCCACATAGGTTTGAAGGGAAACAGCAACAAACAAATTTCAACCATAAATATTATCTACGATCACGACTTTCATAACCTCGCCTTAGCGAAAGTCCTGTAGATAGAGCTGATAGGAGTTTCCGCAGGTTGTGATCGGAGATAGTCAGGTGCACGGTGGGGGTTGACGGCGGGGATGAAGGCTACAATTACCCCTCACCTGTCACCGCGGGGTACAGAGTGAGACGTCAACCAGAGTAAATACTCAGACAGTGCAACAGTCGGGTCGGCGTCGGCTGTCTTTGATTACACAAGGCTGACAACGGTTGGTTTCTGTTTGGTTGGACTTAATCTTTAAGTGGGCAGTGGCGGTGATTAGGGTAAGGGGGGTTGCCACACAAATTTGGAGGAATGAATCAATAAATGTAGTGTTTATTCATTAACCTCTGTTTTCTGTGTTGTTTTTCCATGCGTAGTTGTCAATCACTCAGTGAGCTAAGACGTCTGTGTTAAAATAATTTCTTCTAAAATCATATCAATTTGGGTAGGACTTTTACCTTCATAATCCATCACTTCCTTCTGAAAATCAGTTTGCGCAATGCACAATTTCTTTTCAATAGAATTAGCTATTCAATGTACTTCACATTAATGGTGAATTTCATATGGGTCCAGAATCGGAATACATTGAACGAATATCGCCCTGATCTCCAATTGATACTTGGCTTCGTCAACACTCTTCTCCAGTAGCTTCGGTACCTCTTCCTCCAAAATTCCCCTTTCTTCGTGGCCTACCAGCTGGGCGTTCTTCAGGAAAACAGACTGCATAAGCAAATTGAACTTTACCATACACTATTCGTGCTTTGTGGTCTTCGTCTTAATCATGCAGCTTTAGTACTGCCTTTATAGATTAAGTAGTAAATTAAACTAAACTGTACCTTCTGTGGTCTTTGACTTTGCTCAAAGCTCGTCTTCTCCTTTAGGATCATAGACTGAGCAACTCATACCCTATGGTCTCAACTTTCCTTTGAGCTGGTCTTCTGTCATGGAACGTAGAGTGAATTCTCATGTCTCCACTTTGTTCTTGCAGCAGGTAGCGACGCCGACAGTCGTCAAGAAGATCCTGCGCTGCAAGCACGACAACCCCGGCATGTTCGCCTGGGAGATACGAGAACAGCTGTTGGCGCAGAAGATCTGCGACCCTCAGTCCATCCCCAGCGTCAGTTCTGTGAACCGTATCCTGCGCAACAGTGGAGCCTGGCCTGAGCCTCATCACACCCCGCATGGTAAGTGGGAGTAACTTCATGCATAAACTACTATAACATTGTACTCTATATCGTTGACTATTGGAAGAAGTCTTCCAATTTGTGTTTAAAATGTGGCCATAAAACAGACTAAGTTAAATTGAACCACCGTCAGAGAGTGCTGATGTTAGTTCCTTATTTCAGTCGAAGTTGCCAAACCGTTTAACCAAGATAAACTGAAAGATCCATTTTTTAAGCTGTAGCATCTTCACGCCTCATTTACTATCATATCAATTATCAATTAATGAGATGGGGACGCCACCTGGGTGCGTATTTTAACCCATAGCACAAACTAAGAGATAGCTTTGACAGGAGCTCACTCTCGTATCCGAGAGGCACGAACAAAGTATTCAAATATTCATTCCACACCTAAAGCCAATGCCTAGAGCCTAAACCCCTTTTCAACCTACAGCCACAATGTGAAATTGGTTGGTTCCTTTGTATCAGCTCATACAAAGACCCACACTATTCTATTGAGTGCCCTAACCTTGCAAAGCACAGATGAATAACCAAACTAAGATGATTTAATTTATTACACCCTTTAAAGCATTGTTAAAATAGTTTAACGACACACCAAATCAACGTAGAAAGGGAATTTCCTAATTATTGGCTTGGTGACGAGCAATTCAAGTTGTTGAATCTACACGATGATCCAGGGATGTCACAGTATTGACCTGGGCTTGTACTTAGTTACTGGTTTTATTTCCAATTATAAACGGACACGCGATAATAGATACTATCACCACTTGTGGACACACTCAGAAGCTCAGCACGCGAACTATCACACCTGTCACTACTGTCGACTGTCACCTTCCGCCAACTGAATCTGACGAGGCAGTAGAGAAAATATACAATCCTTATACTATGTGTATCTCCTTAGTCTGTAGCTCAAACGATCTGGCAACATCGCACTCAACAGTGAAAACAAACGTGTAAGCATAAACATTGCGCAGGGTCAGTGTATATTGCTACTGTCCATTCTGAAGGCCGGAACAGCGACGTTGCCAATTTTGTCTTGCTGCGGCATTGTGTCAGAGGAAGCTATGCTATCTTGCTTAAAGGAAAAGAAAAGCTTGTTCTTTGAGTATCTGTGAGCCAGCCTTCAAGTGTTAAATCCATTGATTGAACATATTCCTGTAAACATACATCCTCATGGACATTGACTTTAAATAGTACAAGCAGGCTTCTCATCCTAATGTAAAATATTTTGTTTCTGTTGTTTACGTAGTATTTAATGACGTTTAAGCGCTAGTGTGGTCAATATATTTCTACTTTCTTCCCCCATATAGTGCTCTAGCGTGATTATAGTGTTTTTTATTTTTCAGGACGCGGCATCGAATCTCTAGAAAACACCCGGATCTACGTAGAACCCCCTTTTCGGCCCTACCCTTACCCGTGGCATCCCCCTGCTACCTCGGACACCTGCGGCAGCGAGAGCGACGGTGGGGAAGGAGAAGACGCTCCAGAAGCCACGGAACCTCCGGCCAAGGAGCCGAGTCCTTACTCCATAGAAGCCATCCTTAAGAAGTCTCCGACCAGGAAGCCCAGAGTCCCTACACAGAGTATTCTACTGATGTACCCTCCTTGTGGTTTGTTGCTCGATAGACCGTGTACTTGCAGTCTTCAGCACATGCATTGAGCAAGAGTTCTGAGAGGATGGCTGAAGCATACGCTGCGTCACAAGGCTGAAGATTTAACAATGGATAAGTTTATTTCACCTAATTTATCTACCCTTATAAATTTAGTATTGACACATGTTTGCAAGTGTCACAAATTTTACCTTGTGACTTTCATGCCTTGTTGATGCCCGGATACTGAAACTCTCCAACAAGAAAATTGTAAAAGAAGAAGCGAACTATGATCTTAAATCCTGTATGATTTACTATGGGAAGCTCTGTACACTAGTTCAAACCAGTCATTAAATAGGATAGAAACTTAAGTCATTATTTAAAATAAAATGTCATCCTTTGTAGAAAAATTGTTTTCAAATACGCTATATAAAATGATAGTTGCCAAATCAATATTTTGGGACTGTTTCGTTTGTAAGACTGTAGGCCTGCTCATAAAATTGATCACTACGGAAGGAATGTGTGATCTCAATTTCTCAGGAATATCTTTAGTTCTTACAAAACTTTTCAAGGTATTTTAGGTAGTATTGTTATGTCATGTACTGTTTATTTGTTGTATTGTTTCTTGGATAATCAAACAATAATTGCTATTCATCCTTTCCTAAGAACTTTAATTTTATTGTTGACAAGTTTAATACCAAGTTTATTGGGATAGAAAATTGTGTAAAACATTTCAGTGTAAAAAGGTAAGAACGATTCACGTTGAGACATACGGCATTTCATTCCATGATTTTTTGTTTCAAAATATTTACGTCTTGAATCAGCTGATCTTATTGTTGAATTGTCAACTGCCATTATTTAATGAAGTAATATACATGGATTTATTCCCATTGATGTGATTTCAAGGTTAAACAAACTAACAGCTGTGAGGTTGTTCAATGCCGATAACAGCCTACCAGAAGGTAATAAGAAACAAATGGGGTCACAGCGTATTTGTCAACATTCTGGTCAAAGTGTATGGTTTCATGTGATTAGTTTAGCCATCGATCAGTCAGTACCAACCAAAGAAAAGCCATATTTAGTCATCCAGTTGGATAAGTTAGTGTAAATACTGTGTCGATTATGTAATATAGTGTTTAGATCGTAGTGAACGCACTAGTCTAAGCGATTGTTGCAACTCTATGTACCTATGTTTAAATGTATTGCAAATAATTCGTTGTAATTGTTGTATTTCATTTCTAACCTCAATTAGTTACGTCTCCATACATAACTTAATAACTATTCTGAAGCGAAGCTGAACATCCCAAGCCAACCTCTTGAGAAAATACAGAAAGAGCAACTTATATTATACTATGGCATCATAAGCAAATACTATAAACTATCGAAGTATCAAAATTTAGTATCGAAATCTGTTGCACACCTTGCAAGTAACTAATTAAAATAAGTCCTTTTTAAATACAAATATCATCATTACATCTTGTACTTGTATCTTTTATCTTGTTTTGTATCTTGTTGTGTCTTGTCTACTTCAGTATCAGAATATGAATGATCTCATCAAATGGTGTTTCCAATAGTAATAGTCGTCTAAGAATGAGGCAATTCGAGAAAACCAAGATGTTCTAATAAAACGTGATTCGTAAGATTTCAAATTTTCCAGTAAAAAGAAGGAATTAATTTATTTACTCAAAACAAAGATTTAAAAAATTGCACATCTCAGAAATTAAAATTATTTAATCCATAAGTTGTGTCAGTGTACACAAAAACTAATTGTTATCACTTTAACATAGAGTTCATTCTCTAAAGTCTTCACCTCTTGCATTATACTGTATCAACATCTACTTCCTTCATAAAAATACAATACTTCTAGTCAACATTCTATTCTCCCTCCATAATATTTTTGCAAAACTCTGCCACTATTCGAAAAATTTTTAACGAATGAGAAATACCTAGTAAATTTAGCATTATTGTTTGCTGACTTATCAACAAATTCAGATCATTCGAAAAATCACGAAAAAGAGAAATCCGCCGGTAATTTGCCTTATCACTTTCACCCCTTTGGATTATGTAATAATGAATGGCCAATCAAAGATAACATTCTACACATTGCATCAATACCTTCCTTTTTCACCCTCTTGTGGAATTGACGAGTATAAAAATAAAAAGCTCCAGTTGTCTCCGAGACCACCTGCAGGTAGTAAAACTAGTAGTTTTAATTGGCATGTACGAACCCCAACCACCAACGACGTTAGGGCGATAAAACGAGTGAGACATTTTTATAATGGGGTGGATGTGGCTGAAATGACCCTTAAATTGGCCCTAAACAGCCCTTACAACCGCAACAGTTACTGGAACGGTGTGTAATTAGAGGAGTCCAATGTAGTCTGTCCTTCGTGGCTAGGACAGTTCTACAACTTTTGAACATGCGTTTAAAAAATTAAATACACAACATGGTGACCTGTGCAAAATTGTCGCATTTTTGAAGGGTTCAATAATATTTTGCAAGGCAAAACGAAAATAGTGTACCCAAAAGGGTAAAAACCTTTAAAATATTATGTATAGTTATTAGGTGAATAAATCTACTAATTTGCAATAAATACAATTTGTTGACTGTGGATCCACGCCATAAAGAGTGATTTACCCACTTCAATCAGGTTGCAACAAAAAAAAATAGTATGTTTAAAACTCATTCTCATAAACTGTTTCGTCTCTTTTTACAATATAATAGTGTTTTCGCTACACTACTGTGAAATTACCTGTTTTCGTTACTTGTTTATCACCTGCGAAAATTCATCATTACATTGTTTACTACGGCAAAAGAATGTTTACTATGCAAAAGTAATGTTTACTATCTGTTTTGGATTTTGCTGACGTAAACAAACAACGATTTGTTATTATTTTGTTAACTGTTTTAATTTTCGACAACCAAAACTGTACAACCAATGTACAACTATTAACAGTTTGTTTGATATTGATGCGATAACCTAAAATTCCATGAGTATTGTAATGTTCAAGAAAACAAATTAGTCTTTGTAGTGTAGCGAAAAAGAACGTTCAAAACACGAGTGAAAGTGGGTCTATATATTTTCGACTATTGAATCATAGGGCGATTGAAAAAGGGATGCTCCTGAGAAAACCAGTATTATATTGTATACAGAAGATATATGGAAGATTGATAGATGATTATGAAGACGTACTTGTAGTATACATGTTCTGCAAACAGTAATTTAGGTTTTTAGTGGCTAAAACATTTCTACCATGTACTTCCCTGTGAGCTTGTGTTTTTCTGAATAATTTAATACACATTACACAATGGTTATCAAGACATTCTGTTGTCAGTTTTTGTATGGCAAGTGTTTGTGTCGCTGGGAACTGGAAACACGGTTATGAATTACAGTTTGTAAGTTTTCAAACGACTGGAAAATCTTAGATCTCGTCAAAGCGGAGATAGACAGGGTGTCCCATGAAGAGGTTGCTTATTTTGAAAGCATCATACTAAACGTATCGAACAATTTAGAAACTCAAAACTTCACGGTTATACACACAAGTAAATTAAATACCCTAGGACACAGAAAATGTGGAGCAACAAAATGAGAAAAACATTAGCAAAAATGGTTTGCTAAATTTAAAAATCTATATAGTTATTTTAACATTATTGGAGATCTGAGTTTGAGCAGATTCGCCTTCATCAAAACAGTTGAATAATATCGGTACTTATACACTGTTAGTAATAAACACACAACATAGTGATGCGTCACGTCGGTATCGATATATTTACACACACAGACAAGGGACCAGGGGTGACACGCTACTCCATTAATTTCCGATTTAATCATTATTCATGTGTTCGATTGTTTTGCTCAAGCGTGACCTTTGATTTTACAACTTCGCAACGACACGCCGCCAGTCACGCATTCCACTCCATTTTGAAAAGAGTTTAACATGAAAATATGCTTACTGTTAATCGTTACTTCTATCGAGAAACAAAATAAAGTTACACCTAAATATGTAATTGCGTTATTAAGTTTCACTATGGACTTGTCCACAATAATGATAGTGTAAGCCTTGCGATTTTAAAATAGGTCAACAAGATGTGCAGTTCAATTTGTACGGTAAAATAATTAAAATTACAACTCTCAATATGTGTATAAAATGTATACTAGGACAACATATTATTTGTATGCCAATTATTATGTATTACGAATTAGAAACTTATTTTCGAATAAGCTTGTCACTACATTCTTCAGTGAATAATGTAGTTTGTGCCTCTATCCGTAAGTGCATAACGCAGTTAGTGCCTCTATCCGTAAGTGAATAATAAAGATTGTGCCTCTATCCGTAAGTACATAACAGTTTGCACCTCTAACCGTAAGTGCATAATGTAGTTTGTGCGTCTATCCGTAAGTGAATAACGCAGTTTGTGCCTCTATCCGTAGATGAATAATGTAGTTTGTGCCTCTATCCGTAAGTGAATAATGTAGTTTGCGCATCTATCCGTAAGTGAATAATGTAGTTTGTGCCTCTATCCTTAAGTGAATAATGTAATTTGCGCCTCTATCCGTAAGTGAATAATGTTGTTTGTGCCTCTACCCATGGATGAATAATGTTGTTTGTGCCTCTATCCTTAAGTGAATAATGTAGTTTGTGCCTCTATCCTTAAGTGAATAATGTAATTTGTGCCTCTATCCATATGTGCAAAACGCAGTTTGTGCCTCTATCCATATGTGCATAACGCAGTTTGTTCCTCTATCCATATGTGCATAACGCAGTTTGCGCCTCTATCCGTAAGTGCATAACGCAGTGTAACCCTCCATTATGCAAGTGCATAACGCAGTGTAACCCTCCATTATGCAAGTGCATAACGCGTTGAAATCCTCCATTTGGCAAGTGCATAACACAGTTTGTCCGTATCTGTTTTACGTTTCTAAATAACCCAGAGAGAAGTATCATCAGGTGTGAACCAATTGGTCATAAAATTGTGTCATTTCCGAACACTGCCCTGACATTAGCAACGACTTTTGGCAATAAACTTAAACTCCGAGCTCTCAAACTGGTCATAACCAATAGTGACGAT